AAAAAAAAAAAAAGTGTTCATTAAAAGAAGCTCCAGAGTTTAAAAAAAAAAAAAATGTATACTGAACATACTAGAATATAAGAAGAATACAGTTCCAAGAGTCACACATTTCAATGAATGCCACAATTTACTCAATATCTCTCAGAAAATGTTACATTCAAGGTCTTATAAAGAACAGCAGAGTTAATGACTAAACTCATTCCTTGGTCCAAGAATAACTTAACCATTTGACTTCTCTCTAAAATATATAAATTTCTTTGGTCAGTGTTACTTGCCCATCTTGGAAACACAAAATAAATCTCCTCTCTTAGTCTCTGTCTCCCCGAGGAATGAATGGGCTTGAACAAACAACTATGCTTTCTTATTCTTTAATCCCTCCTGATTTTTGGCTTTAATTCAACAAAATTTGCTGGAACATAAAAACTATTCAACACTGCTGCCTTTATTTGCCCTGACAAAATATTTTATACTAGCTACCTTTCTGTCTGCATTTTCCATTAAAACTCTTTGGTCAAAAAGTCACCAAATGACCTTGCTTCATTCAATGCTCTTGTATATTTAGCAAAGCAGACGTTTTCCAAACTCTACAGGTTTGAGGACATTATCTCTGCTGGTTCCTTCACAGCATCCTTTACTAGATCCTTTCCCTCTAATCTCTACATAAAGATGACCCAGGAGGACATTGTCCTTAGCCTATTTTTACCTGTCTCTATATAATTTTAGCATTAAGCATACCTTCTACTGCAAGCAACTCCCATAGCTAGTACAATCCTTAATCTGACTCAAAAATTCTCAAACTATTTCTGAGTGCTAATTCCTACATGTGAATTTCAACCACATTATCTACTATTACTGACTTATGATAGTTGTCTCTTGATGAAATCCCTAGGATGGCTTTTTTCTGTCCACAAATAACATACCCAATACAGTAAACACGTCAGTGATCCGACACCAGAAATCTTTCCATACCTACTATTTCAAGTTCAACTACAAATTACTGCAAGACAAACCCTGTACTTTTCTACTTCTGCTCTTTATCACATGAGTTGTCATGGCTCACTGTTTGAACCCGTTTTTATTCCTAGTCAAACTTCACATCCTCCTTCATGATGTCTTCTTTCTACAATCAAAAGGACTATGACTTACTACATAGCACCCATTTTATACAATACTAACTGATGTTGCACATATATGAACGATTCCTCACTTTAACCAAGTTAGTGATAACCTGAAGAAAATGCACACATATTTCCATTATGTAGTATGAAAAAACAAGCTATTTATAAATTATCAGGGTGATAAAAAGACAATTTGTGCAAAATTACAACTATATGTCAACTTAACATGACAATAACTTCAGGAAAATAAACCACAAACTGAGGTTCCTCATAAATGCTTCTGTATTTCATAATTCATTTGAAAGTACAATACAACTACACCGGCAAACATGGAATAGAATTACAGATTATAAAACAATTTCCATATATCTTATTGTACTTAATATTTTATTCTGTTGGTGCACACTTGCAATTCCAGTGCTGGTGGGATACTACAGCAGGAGGACCACCAAATTTAAGCCCACCTTGAGGAACTTAGTCAGATCCTATCCCAAAAGAAAAAATAAGGGGTGAGGGAAGTGCCTAAAGATGTAGCTCAGTGCAAAGGCCATGGTTCAATCCCTAGTATCATCAAAAGAAAAAATATTCCATTTGTTGACAGATAATGAAAAGTAAAATTTCTTGAGCCGGGGATTTAGCTCAGTGGTTCCAC